ATATATATATATATATATATATATATATATATATATGTTTGTTATATAAAAGTAATCTTTACAATACTTAATCCTTAAATTTAAATTATTATAATGCAGACTTTGGCATTTATTAGATTTATATACAAAATTATTAATTTAATATGTTAATGTCTAATTAAAAATAAAATAAGAATATTATTTTGATTTCACTTGTACAAAATGTTATTTTTGTAAATTAATTTCATAATTATATATACAAATATATTTATTTAATGATAATAAAAAAAATTGTAAGAATAATATTTAAAAAAACTACTACACATCGTTAATTCAGCCTCTAAAATGCAAAAATTAAAAAATTTATATCACTTAGTTAATTATTTTAATTTATAGCACTTAAATGTATAATAGGCAGTGATAATTGATTGATTACTATAACTTTTCTAACATTTGATACATTAAACATACAGATAATAAATAATATTAGATTATTATAAACTATTATAATAATCTAATATATTCGTATACATGAAGAATATAATACACAATGATACATATTTCTAAAAATTATTATTTTATAAAAAATATTGTATCATTTTTCGCTAATAATTTAAATTCGTATGAATTTAATTTACGTGTAAATTAATAATGCACATGCATGCATATTTTATGATTATAAATTAAATAATTAATTTTAACTATTAATTATACAAAAAAAACTAAACATAAAACATTGTAATTGTTTCATCAAGAATTTATACCTCAAATATTTTAGTAAAAAAAATATCATAAATTTCAAATAAATCTTATCTGCCATAATACATAAATAATCACATTTTACCAAATGATTAATCACAATTTGTCAATATGTTTATGACAATGTGATATTAATTTATCCTATATAAAATTTGAAATATTTTACTCAGAATTCTTATTCTCTGTGAAATTCACTAAAATGCCATTTCCCGCATCCACCCAATCCTCCGAAAACAATTTCGCTCTAAGTATTTCCCTTTCCGAAGCATCCTCGATATCAGGCGCGTTCTCATTATTTAAATTTTCATTATTTTTCTTTTCTTTATCTCTCCTTCTTACAATCAGCAGTTCAGAATCTTCCGTTGTATCTGGTAAAATCTTATTTAAAGTTTCTGGTAAAATTAAAGCAAATGCCCCCGATCCTAAGCAGAGCATTCCAATAATTATTAATGGAATGGTAACTGGAAAATATTCTCCCTTAAAACAAAAATTACATTTATTACTTCAAAATGAATATTTTAAAGAGAAATTCGTGTCGAATCGTATTTAATTTTCCCTATACCAATTCTGTACGTTCCGCTAATTAATTCTAAAATAATTGGAATGTAAATCTTACCGATAATAATTCGTGTGGCGTACATAAACTGCCGATTTTCGCGAAAACGATGCATAAGCCTAAGCAAGTTCCTCGCACAACTGTTGGAAATATTTCGACCGTATACAAGTATGTTATGGAAACGGTGCTCATTACTGCTATTCTACCGAGTAAAAGTATAATGGCCTTCGTGAGATCTGAAAATAATCATTAGAAATGAACGAGTATATAAAAAATAATAGGATATTATTAAGATGTACGTACCAATTGCAGTTGTAGGATTCGATAAGATAATTATGGCTGCTAATAAGATACAAATCGCACCTGTAATTGATTGATATGCTGACATTGATAATCGTCTGCCATATCTAGACAATATGAAATAGAGAAACACGTAAGTTGCGATTTCTAATGCTCCTCCTAATGCAAAAACGATATGCCTATTAAAAGAGAAATTTGGAACGAGTGTCATAAAGACACAGCATGCTATAGAAGATGTGAACCTTGAATAAAAGAAAAAATAAATAAATAATTATATAAATAAGAAAGAAATAATTGCATCGATTCGATAAAAATATTTGAAAAATCTTACCATTGATACATCATTATAATACCATATTTTTTCAATAGCATAGATTTAAACAGTTCCAACAACTCTTCTTTTGTTTGCGCGTTACTGGATCTTTCTTCGATCTTATTACACTTTTTGTTATACTCGTCTTTGCTCGTTATTTCTTTTTTTATCGGCATCCGTAATTCTACGGTATCATACGCATTTTTCATCGAAAGTCTTTGACTTCCAGCTGGCTGGGATATCGATTTCGATTTTCGATGACTTTTCGAGCTCGATGCGACATTCCTCTTTTCCATTTCTTCATTTTCGTATTGTTTCGATTCCATTTCTGATTCCGTTTTGACAAGCTTATTTTCTAAATTTTCTGAAATCGCTCTCAAACTTGTTTCTGGAAAGTGTACATCATTTTTGTTCTCGTTAATTACAGTGTAACGTATAATAATAAATAATTGATAAAAAAAATTTTTTTATTTTGATGAAATATTCAATAAGATTCATCTTTTACTTCGAACTTTTTGTTGAAGTGTATCCGTTGTATTACTATTCAGCAAATTCGCAGCTTCTTCTTTCATTTCGTTATCGGTTTTCGATTTTTTCAAGTCTGGACACGAGACGCGCGACTTCCTTTCCGGTTTCGTTGGGATCGCGTTCTCGAGAACGTTTGCATCCGATTTAACGTGTTCTCTTCGAGATAATCTAGTGCAACAGATATTGTATTTCGCGATACGTTCCAATGCCATATCTGCTTCCGTTGTTTTTCCCTTTGCCAGTAACCATCTTGGCGATTCTGGTATCATCCTGAGATACATTCATATAGTCATATCATCAATCTATTTCAAAATATATATATTTTACTTGCTCTTCGCGCTAAAAAAAAAAATTATATATACCAAATGTAAAGTACAGTTATTGCGGTGGGAACTGAAACTGCTAATTGCAAGATTCTCCAGTCCGGTATAATGTAACTGAGTGCAGCTAGAAGTATCAAACCAATGGCCCACGCAATTTGCATAACTAATGCAACGAAAGTTCGTGCCTTGGCAGGGAACAATTCCAAAGAAAGAATATACGTCGAATTTTGTAGACCCTGAACAAAGACTCCTTGTAATCCACGAAGAGCCAAAAACGTGGGATAATTCTGAAATGAAGATTTTCATTCACCAAGAGAACAGAAAAAAAGTTTTATCCTCTGTTAATTTGGTATTCAACGTTAGCTTCTTTTATTTTCCGCGTTGAACGAATGACTCGAATTAAAATGAATATAATGAAGATCGAATTGAAAATTTAAAAAAAAAAGAAACATTTCATTAACAATATTTTAATTAATTATTTTAATTATTTTACCATTTTTTTTTTCAAGGAAATTTATGTACCTGTACAACGTATAACGCAACAGCCATCGTGCCCTGAGTATAAAGACAAAGCGCTTGAACCGGAAGTCTTCCAATACGATCTGCCAAAAGTCCAGCGATCCAAGCACCCATTAAAACCCCGATATAGTAAACAGTCGGCCCAAGAAACGTCAAATACCGTTTTTCACAAACTAGACGCCATTCCGTCACTACGCTATTCTCTCCGAATTCGGTTGCAAACTGATACTCGCCGAAACACAAGTCTGTATTCATAGATTCTTTTAAACCGGAAGTCTCGTTGGTTGTAAGAGTTATATTGCCAAGCTCTTGGCAACCATACGTTCGTTTCGTTCCATTTTTTGCCTGTAATATCCAATTTAAATATTTTTCATATTCCTTGAAACTAGTCAATTGTATTAACTAATTCAATTTTTGATTGACTGATGATTATTGAATTTTTTTGTTACCATGTATGAAATAAAATTCGGTTTACTTATGCTACTTCATACAAATATATTTATTATTAAAACAAAAGTTAAGTAAATTGTTTGAATGAACAATTAACAATATTTCTTAAGAGAGCAAAATTTCATTTACGAGTTAAAGCAATGAATATTTTACTGTTTAAATAAATTTGAATAGTTCAATAATTATTTGATGTTATGAAATGAATGAATAATTGAATTAACCAATTAAGAAATTATATAAATAGAAAAGAAAGACAGAAGAATTAATTTACCTGACAATAAAATTTAGGCGTATAATTATGAAATACTGGCAATGCGTGGCTCATCGCAACTATGACATAATTGATACCAAGGAGCAGCACTATGACTACTTGAAAGCATCCTACTTTTACTTCCTCCGCGTTCATTTCTTCTAATAACTTTTTTTCTTTTCTTTTCTTTTTATTACCAATATTTACACAAAATCACGTAATCACAAAACAATCAATAGTACTTTATTCACAATTCACGATGTAGAATCCAACTAAACAAGAAGACGTTGAAATTCCGTGCACAGGAGAAACAATGATCCACTTATCCATTTTTATCGTCAAAAAAAAAAAAAAGAAGAAGAAGAACGAACGCACGCGTAAGGATGAACTTTTTTAAAAATTTTTTTTAAGAGAAATATGACCAACGTGCTGCATCACTCAGAGGCGGTAGACGAACGAAATTCGTGGCAACGAGTGAAAACTTCGACGCAGAGCCCCCAACAAAGTGTCATCCATGAGGGTGAGACACGCACTAACAGAGAGAAGAGTAACTCTCTCTCGAAGGATAGCGCGAAAGAGGAACCGATTCCTAGCGGTATCAAGTCGAACGAGGATAGAAACACGTGCTATTGTTTCACGCTTGGCGACACGTATCCCATTAACGCACTCACGTCACGGGAAAACGATCTTCTGTCAATAATAATCGATTTTTAAATTGACGTAACGTGAATTTTGTATTTCTGGGAAAAAACATTGACGTGGTCGCCACTTCCGAATGAATCTGAACGAGATGCAAAAAGAATAATAAATAATTCTGGCGAAATCAGAAGAAATTTTTAAGATTT